GAGCTGCAATCAGTAGGAGAGTAGGCGGAAACGACACAAAGGCAACGACTTGTTTCCCTATCCTTGCAAGTTCTTACGGGGCCGCTTAGCCCGACAACACATAGACGACTGTTATTGGGGATCCACTCTAATAGTGCTTGTGATAATTACTCAGTGTAGTATTTGTTTGTTTTCCAGAGTGAAATTTCACTCTGTATAACATACGATATTCTTGTACTCAATTGATCTGAATTATACTCAGGAGTGAAATGTAGCATGTGATGTATGTTTGATATATGTGATTTCATCTTAACTAATAGTCAAAATGGCTGTACAAATCAAGATATAAATGAATGTATTTTCGATTAGGGTCATCGTAATCGTCGTTGTCGTTGTGTTTTGGAGTTAATAGATCTTCATTTGTACTAGTCTATGTGGTCTTGCTTTCGCATCATAGAAATTAAAGTGGTACCTGGCAAGCAATTTCAACATAATAATCAGAGATGTCTAGATATAATAAGTAGCGTTTCAATTACAAGACTTATCCATTTGAACTCATTAATTCAATATATATATAATTAATGAATAATGTAGATGCTATCGGGGAGTTAATATCAAATATTTACAATACAGAAGGATCAGCATCAGATATGAACTATCAACTTGAATTAAACAGACTACATCTCAAACAAACAGATTTAATTGGATAGAACTATTGACAATCTAATTGAGAACGATTTCTTATTAGTTAATAAAACATCTATAAGTTTGATTTTTGTCGATCTTAACACAGCATACTCTCTGGACATAGTGGAGAAGATTCGTTATTCAAATGAATGATTTTGATAGAGTTTTGTTCTTTGAGCTAGATGGCTTGTACTGATGATGTCGTTCAGAAGAAAGATGAAAGCTCCATGACCAAACCATTCAGTTCAAAGAACAAAACTTCATCAAAAAAATAAACAGCGTACTCATTACGTACGTATCCAGATACCAAGTTGATGTCTCTATAACAAACCAAGTACTCATTGAGACAATTCAATGCTGAAAAATATCCGTCTTATGTTATTTCCAAATTGTGTTTATCAGTTTACACGTACCCGCCAAGAAACATACGTCGGAAGGACAGAAACGAGGGAGACACAACCAAAACAAAGAAGTAAACAATGACAAATTTAAGGTCAATAAGAACCACTTAACATCGAGGTGTACAGAACAAGCTGTGAAACGCATATGGAGAAATTTGAACACTTCACTTCTATCTGAAGTTTGTGCTGATGATGTCGTTCAGAAGAACGATGAAAGCTCCACGACTAAGCCATCTAGCTCAGAGAACAAAACTCCATCAAAATCATTCACCTGAGCTACAAATCTTTTTCACCACGGAAAGGAGGGTTAAGGAGCAAACTTCACAAAAGTTTAGAATGAACGGACAGAAGGTTTTCAACAACGCGATTTCTAATCATTTGCTCTACAGTGGTAATGCTGTTGAAGTTTCCAAATCTTTCAAAATAATCAATAAACAAAGAAATTTAAAGTTGCCAAGCTTTACCAAAGTTGTTGTCATAAAAAGATTTAAACCTAATTTATGTATTCAAATAGAAACAGTGATCAATCATTAATTTAATTCATATATATTGGTTTTTTGGATCTGCCGATTGATGTTTAGGAGTGCGACAGATCAAGCTATTTCGGTATACATGAATCCTGTGAGGACTTTCTTGATATTGCCGGTAAGTTACAAGCATTTTTAATCAGAGATGGGTGGTGCCTAGCGCTAGAATCAGTACATCAACTCTGGGAAGCAAACTCATCAGGCTGACGAGTCCCAAGCACGATGAAACATACGTCTTGAATTCCCTTGATAGTCATCACCCATCTCTGCTCACTTATCAATATCACTCTGTGTTACGTAATCTGTCATCAGTTTGAAGAAATTCTATTCCCATTATCTTTTAAAATATTCATGTATTAAGCTTATCAATGATCAAATGCTTGAACAGTGTTCATTCATTCGTATTATGTTTCCCCATATTATTCTGCCTCGATTTATTCTATACGTTTCCAATGTAAATATATAGATTTATTTCATTTAGATAAGCAATACTATGGTTTTAAGTTGTAAACAACTGAGAAGAATCTACAGCAATAAATGAATTCATGTTATTATACTATAGGTTATTTTGTTCTTTCTATATGCTTATTTTCATCATTTTATAGTTCAGACCAGTTTTGTGTTTTCATTACTATTTATGTTGGTCAGTAAAATACACTTTAAACTTTTAGCTTGTATTGCCAGATTCAGTAACAATCAAACACCAAACAATTTTACTTTAAACATTTTACTTTCTAGCCCCCAACTGCCCTGGTACAGCTGAGAGTAAGGAGAGTCAACTCTCCTAATCGAAATGATCTCACATGGCCACATGCATACAGCCACTTTTAGAGAAATCCTACTCACTGGCATTCTCGAGTCACCTATGTTGTTTACGAAATTGAGAGGACAAAAAGCGATTGTTCGGCGTAATAACCAAGTTGGTGGAAACAGAGGATTTATCTAGGGGAGTTGGAAAACTCTCATTTCAAACCACTGGTGCACATGGACTCCAGCGTCCTAAGGGAATAAATGGCGTATAAACCAATTGTTGGTTACCGGCTACCATGGGACTGCATCTCCTGACGTTGATTGATTATCTTTTGGATTAGACCTTTAACTCAATAGCTCGGGATGTAGCCCTCTAAGAAAACCACCTGCATCGGTTTATTCATCCGGGCAGTATGCCAATCCTCACATAAATCGAATGATTTGTGTGATACATATCTATTTAGTGCTTCCTTGTACCAATATTTATGTGTTTAAATAAATAAATCTTACTTTCTAAATGAATTATGAAAGGAATTCCTCAATTACGTTTTAAATAGTTCAACTATCTTCAAATAGAACTATAAATTCGGTAAATACAGATTTCCATTTAAAGTTTATACCTTCAAAAGATAAATATCATCAAGTGGTCTCTTCATCGAATAATTTCTATCACTATATCCTTTAAATGTTTATATTTAATAGTTATTAATGACAACACGACTTCAAGTTGTGGTGATCAAGAAAATTTCTCGCTAAAGACACACAAGGATCAGGAAACATGAAGAAGCTTTACATCTAATCAGCGTTCACTTGAAGTTTCAGCCAGAAACATCAAGCAAGTGAAACGTCACATGTAGAGGTTCTGATTGACTGATTGTTATACTACTACTATGTTTTTTCGTAGCATTCCAGAATCTTCGAGCAACCCAAGAACATTTAAATTATAAAAACCCTATATTTTCTATATTAAAATGAACCTTTGGAGTAAAGTACTTTCTTATACTTCTCGCCTTCTCTCTCCTGTTTAGGTCATTGTATAGTTTTAGCTTAGAGCTTACAAGAATAGCTTAGGAACCGAGTATAGTGTTCAAAACTGCAAGGCTTATCACTTAAAGAAATTGTTTGAAGGAGAAATACAAACTGAAAATTAATTGAAAACTTTCAGGCATTGGATTGTATTCTTCATGATTGGGGAATTGATCACTTCATAACTAGTCAATTGTTATATTAAACTTGTTATTTCAAGGAATCATAATTGGATCTAATGATTTCTATTTTTAAACAAAATCACTTCATAATACAGTAGGATAAATATTCAATGCTATCAATGAATAACAATATGACATCATTCGCATAATCTTACTAGAACGATTGGAACCCATCTTGAAGCCTTTCATTAGTGATCTCATAACCGCAATCGCTTAAGATTGGTAAAACTTTAATTTATGGATGACCTTTGAGCGACACTAAAGTGGCCTTGAGAATGTCCACCTACTGACTATGGCTAAATGAGGGTCTTAATTCTCTGTAAAGGATAAGGATTGTGATTTAAAATTGACAGTTAGGAATAGGGATGAGATTTATGGATTGTCATCACAACGTGACATCAGCTAAAATGCCAAGATGCTATTCAGCCAAATGAATTTCTCGCCGAAATTCATGAACTGTTATCTAATACCTGATTAGTTCGTCTCTACATTATAATCTCGCTCTAACATCTTTCAATGAAGAATTTTACATCATAAAACGATCCAAATAGTACAATAGATTCATCTAAAATCTATCACATATAAGCTAAAATAACAATTAGAGGAGGGTTTTTGTGAATATTATAGTAATTTCAACGGTTGAGATCATGAGTGATTAGATGTTAGACCACCATTAAAAACCTGGAAGTACTGGACGACCATTTTGTTCTATCGTGAGCACTACTGAAGAGTCCCATAATAGCATGAATCAACCATCCAGTGCTTCCAGGTCTTCAATGCTGGTGATCTAGCTTCAATTCACTGATGATTTCAACCAGTGAAATTAATAATAACAATGATATTCGATTTGGATCAACCAATCAAAATAGAAGAATAACAACAAATAACATAAAAATTATTGATTATTTTATTGAACGAAAATAACAAATAAATAAATCAATAAACAAAAATATTCATCAATGTTCAATGTTTCTTCTTTTCTTTTTTTTTGGTTTTAATGATTGTCTCATGCCTTGACAACAACAACAACAACAATCAAAAAAATAAATAAACATGTCTATCTATTTATTATAATAATAATAATAATAATAATAATGATTCAATTCGTCTTGGTGATAATGAAAAAGAAAAGTAAAATAACTAAAACAACAACAACAACAAAAAATAAACAAGAAAAATCTTATCAAAACATTAAAAAAAAATTAATCATGTTCGGAAAACAAGAGAAGTATCACACACGCACACATGCGCACAAGATCAAGCAAGAATCAAGACATAAACAAGTGATTTTTGGCGCTCATTCAACTATAAACGTCATGTTATCTGCTGAAAGTAATTTAAACAAAAGTTTTTTTTCTTTTAAAAAAAAAAAAGAAAAGAAAAGAAAAAAGAAAAAAAGGAAAGAAATGAAATTCGTTCTTTTTTTTTATTTTGTTCTTTATTTTTTCTTATGAAAGATATTTTGATGTTGAATTTTTTATTTTTACATATTCTCCATAACATGAATATGGATGGGCGCATACTTCTAAATCTCGTGTTGTATTCCCAAAATTTTTACCAACATGATATTGATAACCTATTGACATAGAGAATAGAAATTAGAGAAAAATAATAAAGAAAAAAACAAAACAAAACAATTTAAATTATAAAATTTATTTGTTTGTTTTTCTTTTTAATCTATTACAGATAATCAATATTTGATGGTGTATAAAAGGGAGAGAGTCTATTTGGGTTAAATAATTGAGTGGGGATAGTCAGCTCTCCCACTGGAAATGATCTTACATGTTCATGAGTATATAGCCTCTGCCAGGGAAGTCCTACTCACTGCCATTCTCCCGTCACTGGTGTTGTTTACGAAATCGAGAGGATGAAAAGTGAATGTCTGAAGCTTTACACGATTTGATGGTATGCAGGATCTATTTAAAGGAGTTGGAAAACCGTGATTCCAAACCGATGGTACACATAGGCTCCAGGATTTTGAAGGAACGAATGGTATATGAACCATTGGACTATATTTCCTGACGTCACTCCAATGCCTTGTGGATCAGACATTTAGGTCGAAGGCTACGAGTGTGGCTCACTAAGAAAGCCACCCGCTTCGTTTCGAGCATCCGGGCAGTATCACAACCCATACACAAATCAAGTGACTTGTGTGGCGCAAAGTTTGTTACAAAGAAAACAACATTACTATCAGTGATCCATTATCAATATAATACATAGAACGAAGATAACATCATTTCCACTTATCATACTTTATTAGATTTGATTATTAAGTAAATATACATTTGAAGGAATAAACTATTTGGTACCCATCAGTTATTTATCATACCATTTGCAATTCTATTACATAAAGTATTTTAAGTGATTAGTAACATCTAACACGCATACTACATTGAAGTGAAAGGAGTACAGTACAGTACATTACTATCATTCATTAATTCAATCATATGGTATATCTGTGTTCATTAGTGACAATTAAACGTTTACAAACTTGTGTTCAATGATTCAAGACCATTGAAGTATTGATTAGAGATAGTTTTGTGAAACTTAACGAATCTATATACTATAGTGAGTCATCAAATATTAGACAGTATTCAGCCAGTTAGTCAGTCAGTCAGTATCAACGTAGACCTTCATACGTACGTACATCAGTTCAAGTTGCCATAGCACATTAGAATAGAGATACAGTTATCGATTCAAATACAAAATGTCGTGAAATTATATTCTGAGTTTTAAAAAAACTTTAAAAGTATAAATCAAAGAAGTTATTTTGAAACATAAACTCATCTTAGAGACAACCTAATCAGTTTAGTGATATCAAATTTAATTGGACAGAGTTCAAATCTACAATCCATTATATGAATGAGTGATATAATCACTTAACAATAATCTTATGAACTAGTTAATGTACTACTTATAAATATACTATTCATAATTACTTTATACAAAATACCATAAAGATAAAAACGATATAAGTAGTATGATTTATTAATTGACGAATGAAAAATAATAGAAGTAAACTTGAAATTATGGAATATTGAATGTAAAAATAATGAAAAAGTTTAAGAAAAACCTAACTATAAAACAACCATGGAATAGAAAATCCTCTTCTCTTAATGAAGTAAATTAAAATCATAACAAGATCATTTGATCTAGATCATAATATAATGAGATAACGTAGTAAACATTTGAGATGGTGAAGAAGATTTGTAGCTCAGATGGATGATTTTGATAGAGTTTTGTTCTCTGAGCTAGATGGTTTGGTCGTGGAGCTTTTATCGTTCTTCTGAACGATATCATTCACAACACACATTTCAGATAGAAGTGAAGTGTTCGAATTTCTCCATATATATGCGTTTTGACGACCGGTGTCAGGCAAGGTTGCTTACTCTCACCCTTTCTCTTTCTCCTGGTGATCGACTGGATCATGAAGACATCAACTTCTGAAGGGAAGCACGGGATACAGTGGATAGCTAGGATGCAATTGGATGATCTAGACTTCGCAGATGATCTGGCTCTTCTATCGCACACACAACAACAAATGCAGCAGAAGACAACCAGTGTAGCTGCAGCCTCAGCAGCAATAGGTTTCAATATACACAAAGGGAAAAGCAAGATTCTTCGATACAACAGAACATGTACCAATCCAATCACAATTGACGGAGAAGCTTTGGAAGATGTAAAAACCTTTACATATTTGGGCAGTATCATCGATGAACACGGTGGATCTGATGCAGATGTGAAGGCACGGACTGGCAAAGCAAGAGCAGCATATCTACAACTGAAGAATATCTGGGACTCAAAACAATTAGCAACCAACACCAAAGTCAGAATTTTCAATACAAATGTCAAGACAGTTCTACTGTATGGGGCGGAAACCTGGAAAACTACGAAATCCATCGTCCAAAAGATACAGGTGTTTATTAACAGTTGTCTACGCAAAATACTTCAGATCCGCTGGCCGGACACTATAAGCAACAACCTACTGTGGGAGAGAACAAATCAGATCCCAGTAGAGAAAGCAATCAGGAAGAAATGCTGGAAGTGGATAGGACACACATTGAGGAAAACACCCAACTGCGTCACAAGACAAGCCCTCACATGGAATCCTCAAGGTCAAAGGGGGAGAAGAAGATCAAAGAACACATTACGCAGGGAAATGGAGATAGATATGAGAAAAATGAACAAGAATTGGATGGAACTAGAAAAGAAGGCGGAGGACAGAGTGGGTTGGAGAATGCTGGTCGGCGGCCTATGCTCCATTGGGAGTAACAGGCGTAAGTAAGTAAGTAAGTAAGTAATGCGTTTTGACAGTTTGTTCTGTACACCTCGATGTTGATTGGTTCTTATTGATCTTCATTACAATATTGAAAGTTCTATATCTTCTATTCAGTAAAATTTATATACACATACTACTGATATTGAGCTGTAATGAAAAGTTCTATCAAATTTATCAATACAAATTGTCTTACTTATTAAATTTGGTACTTGTATAACTTTCATTATTAAAGATAGTGTTTCATTCATTCATTCATTTAAATTAAACACCTCATTCATATCATACGTCTATTTCCTAATTCATCTTATATAAAGTACTAACAATAACAATCTACTTGATAGTTGTGATTTAGTTTATAAGATAAATAAATTTTAAAAGTTTATCATACATTTGTTCATTTATAAAGGAGAAATAAATAGAATCCATCAGTCAGTCATCAGTCAGCTAGAACGTAGGACCACGCACATATATGCATCGGTTCAAGTTGCCACACTCCATTAGCACAACAAGATGAACACCGAATGTCATAGAACTAGTTAATTCAATGGTGATAATATATAAAAGACAGATTGCATATAAGAAGATAGTACAGAAAGAAAGAATCAATACGTAGAAACAAAGATATGAAGCGATTTTAATCTCTTAGTTTAAAGGAAGACAGAGAGTGCATTCACCTACGTACGTCATTGTGATCGATTCTATATCGTGTCACTAAGAGTTTCTAACCTCTAACAGGACTCAAGACCACTGTAAACAAGTAGTATAATAAGTTTCTATTAGATGATAATGCTTTAATGCTGAATAAACGTCAGATATAACTTCACATAGGTAGTTCTGGGAATTGAATTGAAGAGGGAGGTTGATTATGAATACAGTGGTCTTGAGTGCTGTTAGAGGTATGAGGGCACTTATCACTTCCCGATGGTCCACACCGTGGAAGGTTTCTGCTGGAGGTAGCTGAAAAGGAAATTGGATTAGAGGTGGTCATAGTGACCTGAGAGCGTGACCGCAGTGCCCAATGGACAGCTGCTTCAGGTCGGTCACACACGACCTTTTTATGAGTAATTTTTGTGTTAGTTCCGTACTTGTTGAGACTTTACCGCCGGAGGCGGATAAGACGAGGTGTGCATTTTTACAGTTCACCTTTTCTCACCCCACCCCTCCTAGTTGGAAGGCTGCATCGCTGTTATTCTAGTTGTCTAAAGGAAACACCTTACTGCTGTCACACCTCTGTACAATCAGCAGTAAGACTTCGAATTCGGACCTTGGATTTGTTGCTTTTAATCTTACCGTTCTTCAACCGACCTGTTTGGCATGGTAGAACCTTGAAGAACGGTTGTTCCAGCCAGTATAACTCAGTTGCTTCATCACGATAGGCAAGGCCGACCAGCACAACAACGTAGCAACAACGGTCGGGAGGCAGTTCTAAACGAGAGCTTTTATGACGTTGAAATTTAGTTTAACAGCTTAAGAGTATACAACTAGAATATGAAACAAAACTAACTAGTGTTTTAACTATGTTAGGTTGATTGAATCAAATTATTATGTAATAGGTTTGAAGTATATGGCTACTTATGTAAACAAGAAGAGTGTAGTTTACCTACCATGAATATGACCTTCATAATCTGGTATCATACCTTCTTGATGAAATATTCTTGCACTATAATAATTACTCTTTGGTTTATATGGTATTGAACTATGTGGACGGGAAGAGCTGAAATAACAATTACAATTTATATATATATATGAAAATATTATTTACAACAATAAGATCATATTCATTCAACATCAACGATCAAACTACACTTATTATCACAAGGGGTGTTTTATGGAGATATCATGAGTCAACTAAAGCTTGACTACCATGAAAAACTTGAAAACACTGGACGGCCGTTTCGTCCTATTGTAGGACTCCTCAGAAGTGTTTCCAGGTTTTCCATAGTAGTCTAGCTTCAATTCATTCATGATTTCAACTATTGTACATATTTCATTATTACAAATACTGATCTTCTTATAATAACAATCTTATCAAATGACGATCAGGACAAATTCAAATTTGTGCTTCAATCACTTTTCACTTCGTCATGTTACTTATTGTTATTCAGTAAAAAAAATACTACATTTGTTTTGTACTAGTTTGAAATATTTCAGCAATACCCATTCTGTTTTTGGACCTGGATTTTATCTGGTTTTCTATTCTGAACTTATGATGCATTATATAGAGTAAATAGCCATAGATGGAAACCATGAGGCGCGTTTTTTCATATTTCGGACTCATTCACTACATGTATCTGCATCACTGTATTGATTTTCATACTGACACTCTCTCTAAATCTGAAAGCTTTATTCATTGAGTAATTCAGTTTACATTGTCACTAACTTGTTAAACGGGGTTGTAATGTCCCAATTAATAATACCCAAGACTACAGTAGACAATTTTTGATGATTTGCACAAGTCCAATTCAATGCCATTTATCAGTTCATGTATTAACGCGTTATAATTTTAGAAATAATTTACTCTACTTTTGTGTTTATCATTATTTCATACATAACTTTATACTACTTATAAATACTAAGTAGTTTCAGTTTGCATATTGTAATATGTGCTTTAGTCTATTAGTTGATTCCTGTTACTTCTAACATTTTATATTCTTGTTTGTTTGACTCTTTGAAACTCTATTAGTTGCTATCAATTTTCTTAATCTATAAACAAAGAGAATAGTTTACTTTCATTAAACTCTTACGTTTCCCTTTCACATGATTATTCGTTATTTGTTAGTATTTATAGTACATGTCCACATTTTACTCTTGTGAAATTGTTCGCACAGAACAATTTTATATGCCTACATTTTAAAGGTATAACACATGAGATGTATACATACTAAGTGACATGGGTGTTTGCCATAATAAGACTATATTTCTAAACAAATACCATACCATTTTTTGTGGAATTTTATGTATAGCTTGGTCTTTGTGTTCGAGTCTCAGCAAAGAATCTTGATATACCATGTTAATGATGGTTAAAGTCACTCATTGGTCAATCTAATTAGATAAATTGATTTAGATAGGATAATGAGAAAATGGATACAAATATCTATTAAGAACAGATCAATTCCATCGATCCAATAAGAGATGATGAAAACCCATCTTCCGTCATTTGTAACTACTGCTGAAATGGGTTATAAGATAAATCTTAAATCACACACTGAGGTTTTGCATAAAAGTTACTTAATTCGATTATTTAGCCTTCCTGAAACTGTACCAATACAAAATTCAAGTATTCACTGTGTCTTTACCCGGGTAATATTGATTTCATTTCCATATCCAAGACAGTCTTGTCTCTAATCCTTTTCGATTATTGGTTTTTCTATATTCTAAATGGTTTGGTTTAATATTTATTTTGAGAATGGTAATTTTTAGAGATTGTAGTAATTTTAATAGCTGAATTCACACGTTTAAATGAAGGTCTCAGATTGGAGTCCTGCGTGTAGGATCGTAGATGCCCACCATTGGAGAGCTCCATATTAGGACGAAACGGCCGTCCAATGCTTTCAAGTTTTCAGTGGTAATCTAGCTTACATCATGATCTTATCGTAGCAAGTTAATTTATGGCTAAACCATTCGAAATGCGTATTGCTAACATATATGTGTATATAACATTTTCCTGGTTAACCGTATTATTTATATGTATTGAAAGGATGAACTGCTATTAAACTATATCAACTTGAGTAATAGCATTCTTATGAGCAATTTCCTTCTATTCAAATTATAGTCACTTACTCTTTGTATGTTTGAAAAGGAGAAATCTACAACTAATCTAACTTATCATTTTTTACGGTTTCATCTTTGTTATATTTTAAACATAATAATAAATAAACAAATCGTTTATTATGAGAGAAAAGAAACAATTTAACCATTTCAACTTACATATCTAATCTATTCATTGGTATATTCATATGATCAAAATGATTTTGACATTCAGTTCTAAATGTTTCTAAACTACTTTGAGCAGCTTCATGAAAACGTTTCGCTAAACCATTTTCTGTTGTATCCATACAAGGAATAAAACCTTTATAACCTGGTATAGGTGGTTCAATGGAACATTTATTTAAGCTAACATTAGAGTTGTTTTTTACCATATCATCTGACCATATATTTAAATGATTTTTAATGAAAGGATTATATGTTATAGGATATAGATTAGTTAATAAATTAGATGATTCTTTTAATTGATTTTGTTTCATTTCAGTTGATTTATATTCTTTAATGAATTGATCTACACATTCATTAGATAGATTACGATAGGTTTGACCAAATTTATAATTCATTTGAGGTATATTACCTATAATATAATCATGAATATATAATTAAAATATACATACCAGAATAACCTGGAATCATTTCTCCTGTATATTTATTATCTCCTGTTGCTTTTGGTAACATTCTTTCAGTAATATGATCTTTAAAATTAGATCTGAATTCATCAGGATAATAACAATAGGGTTCCTAAAGAAATCAATAATTCCTTATCAAACAAAAGAGAAAAAATTAAAAACTTACTTGATTTCTTGGCCCAAAATAATATGGAAGATCCTATAGGTTTTTGTAAAAAAAAAAAAAACAAACGAAAAAAACAAAACAAAACAAAACAAAAACGTTTACCCAAAAAAAAAACACAATTAAGTTACTTTAGCTATTTCTGATGTTTCTTTACCAAATGTATGACCATATCTATATTTAAATTGTGGACAAAATCCCATATATCTAAATGTAAAATTAAAATAAAATACTATTTTTATATTAGAAATAACATTTTATCTTATTACTATAAATGATTTAGACTATTTGATAATATAAAACAAAATAACATATCGAATTCAATTGATTCAACTTACTTGTATGATTCAAAATGAAGTTTATTTATCATGCTTTCAACGTGGTATGGTCGCCAGCACCCGGGCAGTATCACAGCCCTCACACATATCAAATCAGATATGTCTGGCGCATATGTATTTGGTGCCTTCTTGTACCGATATTTATGTGTTAAAATAAATAAATAAATAAATTATTTATCATAGTTATAATGTCTATAGACATTGGATGATCTACTCTTGTATGAATACATAAATAGTATTCATGATAACCAATTTATTGAGTACATATAAACAACTTTTATTTGTATAAAATTGTGATGATAAGATTTTATAGCTCTCTGCATAGATCTCATATTGAAGTTATTCAATTTATAGTTTCACTTTACAATCCATTAGGAATAGTTATATTCTTCTCATACAATGACATGATGTGACTCAATATCAAATATTTATGTAGTTAAAGTAAAAACATAGAGATCAAGATATGAATATTAAAAAAATGATACACTTCCATAATTTTAAAATTTCTTGTTTATCATATTTACAAACTTTACACATACACAACATGATTACAATTTAAGATGGTAGAGAAGATTAGTAGCTCAAGTGGATGATTTTAGTTTGGTTGACCAAACCATCCAGCTTAGAGAATAAAACTTCATCACTATTACTATTTACCTATTTCATTACAAAAAGTTTCTTCTCATATTAAACACTACTAGTATTGTATACTTTATAAACTCATTCTTATCATTGGCATTATGGAGTAACCTATAAGTTAACCATTTCATATATTTCACATATTTCCCTATAAGCACTTCGAATGTTATCTTATATTGAACATGATTAGCTTTAAAGATATTCAAACTTCATTAAACATAAATAATTTTCGAATTATTTAAATAAAACAAATGTATCATTATTTCATTGCTTTCTATAATGCTTAGTTCAGACTATCCAATAAATAATTGTCAATTTCCGGTGACATCTAAGATACATTCATTTTTTAAGGCTATCTAACAAAATACTTCAGAATTTCACGGATTTTAACGGAAAGAACAAAAGTTAACAGTAATGATAACATCATGGTAAATGGTTATTCATCCGAAACGTCATTAACTAATTGCCATACAACAGAACGATTAACATAAAAAACAATTTTAAGTAATCCTAATTATAGTGCTGAACTAAGTTTATACATACACATAACAGGAAATGGAAGAAAATCTACAAATAACTTATAAAAAATACTGTTGAGGTCAGTTTTCAAAGAAGTAAACTGAAAGATGTGTTTAACATTTACGCACAATACTATTTCTCTAGAACTCAGCTGACTACAGGACTGGATTGACACATAACAAATCCAAAACTACCAGAAAACGATCCTCAGATATATTTAAAAACATTGTTCTGGCTTTAACTGAAACCAATTAACTTCTTTTGATGAATTTATAGCACTGACCATTATTTCGTTATATTTTTGTATTGGATGTATTGATATAAAAATAAATATAGATAACTAGGTAAAGTGCAATAAATTGCAGGAATTAACGCGATTTCAACGTTATTGATACAAATCTAATAATATTATTTTATCGTTTCTCTTTGAATTCTGAATAAAAATATGACACTAAAATCTATAAAATAGAATATTTACCCAAAAACAATAGTTCATTACCTTAAAAAAGATGACACGGACAGATAAAAAGGGTATACACGAAGCATAGTATACACCGTAGATTAAAATATGTCGTTTGTGTTTAAATCCATACGTAGAGGGATTAGAACTAGCAAAACTAACAAGCTAAGAGTTCTTTTCTTAACATCAATCGAACAACCCCTTACTTTCAAAAGCCACACATGTTTATTTGCAAGTACAATATGGCACTACAAATTTGCCAACCGGTTTAAAATGTTCTGGGTTTAGTATTCTTTTAATCTAGATTTAGGCCAACGTCAGCCGTCTAGTAAAGCACGACCCAGGCGATTAAAATTGTAGTTTGTAGTACTAACGTTTTTAATAAATATCATAACGTGCTAGTTTGTTTGCCTCCTCCAGTCTGCTTCTCAGCTTAATTTTTCTTATTGTTTGTCTGGGAGAACGAATGTATGGAATATAGGTATCCAAAACCCATTCCCGTATAAGACATTCTTCATCCTATTATTCTCAAAAGTGAATCAAGTAAAATCAAATTGAAGTTAGAGCAACGAGCCACTAAAATCTAATCTCACAAAGACATGATTATAATGTCTTAAAATACTGAAGACGCTATCTCAAATCAAATCACACTCTCTACGCAGAAGAAACCCGTTAGTCTCTACTCCATTTACATTTGGGAAATACCTTGTGTACACAAGGATAAAAAGTACATTAGTCAGTTGTTTACACGATTGACTACGGAGTTAATTACCAAGGCAACATATAATTCCCTATTCGGTACATATTTAAGCCGACATAAAGATTTGCAATTTTATTCAAAAGTCTTTATTTAAGACAATGCGCGAAATGATAACTATTGATATGCTATCCTAACTAATATTCAACAATTTTTCAATAAAGTCTTGTTACAATAAAATGTGGATCCAATATGGTTGATAAGAACAATTTACCCAGGCACATGTCCACCACTTTCCAGGTTTGCAAACGCACGACGCTGCTCAATTGATGGTCCTCCACCATACTCAATTGTTGTCATGTTGATATACGTTCAACTACCCACGCTTTGTGTTTCTATCCTTATATGTACCTTAACAAGTAAAGCGAATTAAAACAAATTTCTTCAAAATTCATGGAACTTTCTGTATATGTGTCAAATAATTTACTTTAATCATTCATTCGTAAAAAATTTTGATATTTATTTACAATCAGTCTACCACATTCTAACAATGACCTATATGGCTTGTCTAGTCGGATTATTTTGTAGACGCGCTGGAGCTGGAGCTACACTGAATAGTTTAGTTCTTCAACATGTTGTAGAATACTTCATACAGAAACTTCTGAATAACTGGCTACGATGTTGCTAGAATAACCCTCAGATTATGTACATTAACGTTGGACAATGGCTGAATATTGTGAAGGACACTCACATAGTTCATCAATCAATATAGCACACTTTGTCTACAAAAAATTATAATTCATACGGTTTTACTTTAGATTGAAGTTTATTATCCATATACCAATTGAAAACAAGCTCGGAGTTTGACAAAATATTTCTCCGACAATACAGGTAACTTAATACCATATTCAATACCACCCAATAAATTAACAATGGGAATCAAAGTGAACTGCACGAACATTCACTCTTTCTCGCTGATGCCAAGAAAAACCATTAATAAGATCTTGCATGGCTTTGTGAAGAAACCAGTTCGAACCACACCGTGCTCACTAAATCGATATCACTCAGTTAAAATTATCTCCCATTGTGACTACTGGGCTAGTAATAAATTAGTATCTGATTGTCCTACTGCTGTTCAGATAACCCTCTGTCTAACGACAACTATTTCATCATTTTTCACAGTGCTCCGAGGGTTATGGAGTTTGGACCTCCCGAAATCAAAAATATCATGAGGTCTTTAGGACTATGCAAATGTTGAGGATTATGTGAGATCTAAGCCACGGCCTTGAACGAATGTGAGGATCAACTTTATTTTCCTGCCTCCACACTCTTCAAAAGTTGCTTTGTCACGAGTGAACTACCTTCTGTCTGAGAAAATATGCAGTTACGTCGATACATAAACGAGCTACGAATTTTACAGCCTTAAATTCTAGACCATTTTCATTGTTGGTGCATTGGAAAGCCATTAGTTGACGATCAGCTCAAAGCCTGTCTTTTGCAAACCACAACATAGTTTTCTTCTAGGAAGATAGTGTGGTTTAAAACTATGATCGAGTGTAGCATTTGGTTCCTCATATTGGAGCTTGAACAACCTGATTATATAGGCCTTTAAGACTTACAAGTGCTATTGCACTGGAGTGTCTTTTGAGTTTGTGGGATTTATAGTCTACATTTATAGTATACATGCGTTTACGTTTGCTATTAGATCTTACATGAAAGTCGCATCACAGTCTATACTGACTCGTCCTATCGTGTCAGTCAGCGGGGTGCTTTTCGAGACTCGTTGAGGGCATATTTGACTGAGGATTGAATTATGTAGTGAATTCGGAAAGGAAAAGTTAAATTGTGTGACTACAACCCCATGGACGACCCAGGCCATACCGATTGAGTGTTCTACGTTCATCGTTTCCGTCTATGTCCAAGAATAAAATCTTGAATGAAAATCTTCTCAGTTATTATATTTTTAGCTTCATGTATAGTGTGGTTAGGCCACAATATCACCACAAGTTCACGGCTCAAAAGTGAGATCAGTAGACGTCTGATAAAATGGCTTGTAAACCACTTCAAATTTTCTCTTCATGTTTAACTTGTTGGCTTGTTGCCAACTGACTGAATTTGAACCGGAACAATAAACTTTATATTTATGTGTTTAAGAAGCTTAGTTAACTGATTTATATAAACACAATAAACTGACTCGAAGTATAATAGAATTAAATGAAAGTAATTCGACTGAAGTAGTATTACAACTAGTAGTGTTAATTATAATTACAGTGGCTATAGTAATGTTATTAGTGGTATCGGATAAAAACCAGTATCAGACTTCCTGGAAATGGTATAATGGTTAATATTGTCTCTGACAGTAAGATCACCAGAAAGTGAGTTGTGATAAATAATAGCTTATATGTTGCGCAGATTGGATACACGTGGAATAAATTACTACGAGTGTTGGACACATATACTCGTGAACATCTGCAAAAGACTAGGGCAGTTTTGTGTGACATGTTACCTCGAAACCAATGACGAAAGAATGATACATTTGGTTAATCAGATATAAAGCAATATAGTGTCACTTGAACGCACATCCAATCAAGTCTCTTCATTCTCCTTCATTGAATAGACACATTTGTGTTAAACGAATTCCGGAAATATATTTTTTCGTTTAAGGTCGTAGCTTTAAAAAACTCCAACAAAGCGGTACTCGTTGATTTTGATGGATTTTTCCGTATCAGACGTACCTATGACGGCAATAGTAATTGTCCTACCACATTAAAAGAGTCAAATTCAGTAAAAGTGGAAGCTTATTAACTCAAATCTAAATTAACCCTTGTATTCGCTCACCAGGCTCACTAACGTTTCTGCTCGAATTTCTTTGGTGTGCTTATGACTTAGTGATTGGTTCCATTCAATAATAAGATATACTCGGAGCTTCGTTTTGCCCTCTGAAATTCATACACCACTGGGATTTATTTAATAACGTTTTTCATGGCGGTTGATATACGAGGCCTTAAGAATTATCTTGATGATAATCCACTACACTCTTTACCTAATTATGATGATTAGAAGTATTCGGATTAATGTGATAACTAGGGATTTCCGAAATGGTGGAATTTAAGGCAGGTAGATCTAGATGAACACAAATGGACGTACTATATTTGTAATTCGTAATCAGCGAGCAATCAAATACCAAGCTTTTATTAGTTCGTACAAACACCATACCAATGAATCAATAGAAGTCCACCCTCCATGTTGTTGCTTATTGCTGCCTAACATCTGGCATGTTCAAACTATTACTTTTTAATCTCTTTCCGGTTGTTCTTTATAGTAATTCATGTTGAGAATAAGGACAGTGTAAAACTTATGACATAAGAATAGAATTATATCATCAGAATGTGGCTATTTATCCGTCAGCAACTTCTAGTGAAGATTAATTCTTAGAGAGATTAGGTCCATTTATCATCTTATTCTCTCAGTATGAACAATACAAACTTTTCTGCCTCTGAGACTCAAAGTAAAATTTTGTAGTCAGATACTATCATGCTGTAAAGCAACAGAATACAGTTTTCCTTCATAATTTTTTTAGTAAATCATTACTGTCATACGTTTTCTTGTCAAGTAGTAGATCATTAATATATTGCAACTTACTCATACTTCAAAGTAACTATAATTCTTTCATGCCTACATTAGTTAAGACTGACATGAAACTGTCTTATTGGATTATCGACCTACATGCCATAATTTTTTGAATTAACAAAATATACAACATGACCTGATTTTATATTACTTACTGGTAAATCTATGATTTTGTTCTGTTCTTTAACTTTGATATTACAGCTACATTTTATTTTAACAGTTGTGGCCATGTGTCAATTGAAGCTAGATCACTATGAAAAGCCTGAAAGCACTGGATGACCATTTCGTTCTATTGTGGGAATCCTCAGCAGTGCGCATACACGATTCCACCTCGCCAGATTCCAATCCAGCACCTATCAGTCTCGGGCGAGAGCGCTTAACCATTAGATCACTGAGTCAGCAAGCATCTAACGGTGTTAATGTTTAACTTCAACCAATCCATAAAATTGAACGACACTTTCACCATTGTCATCAGTGAGTTGCTATCTCACAATATACCTGGTTGAACTCCACTAGTTATCACTACTTCTCACTAGAACTCCAGGAAATACCTCTTGAAGTCAGTCACTAGTGAGTATGCGTTGATTAATATCAGAAGACGTTTTAGTGAATATTATATTAAATTTATTTATTTTTCCTGGTTAGAGAAACAAGCCTTCATTTGAAATCCTGAAGGCAAAAAGAGAAGAGAAAGACCAAATAACTTATTACGTCGAGAAATAGAGACGAACAGATATGAGAAAAATGAACAACAATTGGATAGAACTAGAAAGGAAGGTCTAGAACAGTATGGGTTACAGAATACTAGTTGGTGGCCTATGCTCCATTGGAAGTAATAGGCTTAAGTAACTAACTAAGTAAGTATAAATAATTTCAATAGTTGAAATCATGAATCCATTCAAGTTAGATTCTCCTTTTATCGTTATTCAATTAAAATCTCCAGCAGTGAAAAGAAACCAATAAAAGAATGAATAGTTCAGGATATTAATTCAATCATCTGATATATTGTTTATTGTATTCAATATACTTTAATTGGTTTTAAAATAAACTGATAGACTTGCATTAAAGTACATCTCTCTTCTTATTTATCTATTGAATACCTCTTATCTAACATATATCTATATCTATATATCTATATATCTATATATCTTTATTGATAATTATCCTATTTGTATTTATATTCTAATTCAATTATGTATAAAAATGGTTATGCCATAGAAAGAGTATTAAGGCAGAAATTATATCAAAATGATTTTGATCATTTATTATTTTGGTCTGATTCTATTTGTTATTTAGATAATTATAATAAACCAGAATATAAATATTTGATTATTGGTCATCAATGGTTATATACAATGAATTATGCAAAAAGACAATTAGATAATCAAATACATTTTAATGTAAGTGAATTATAAATTATAAATTGTATACCATTCCCCCCCCATACACACACACACACCTGTCTCTCCCTCTCTCTCTCTCTCTCATTACCTTTTTTAGTCTATATTAGATATTCAATGTATTGGTGATTTAGCCATGTTTCTTACATGTCAAATTACACGAAATTATAATCATATTTGTGTAACATTTAACCATAAACACAATCAACAACAACAACGACAACAACAACAACAACGACAACGACAACAACGAAAACCAATTCAATCTAGAAAGAATATGAAACAAAAACATAAGGTAAGTGATTTATTAAAGATGATAACAATTCCTATAATGTGTTTTATAATAATAATAATAATGAGAAAGATTTATCGATCAAATGAATGATTTTGATGGTGTTAAAGTTTTGCAGGTAAATAGTTTAACACAGGACTTACTTCATTATGAAATGAACTGTTCAGCTGTTGTACAAACATTAAATCATGTCATTTAAATGACTTGATTTATGATTGCGTCTTTGTGTTTTGCAACATCTTTACCACTTCATGGTGGATTAAATCCCGACCGTGTGGCTAATTGACATCAGTTCTACACTGACGACTGAGTTTAATGTCATACTTCTAGAAGATCTCCATCATTTTGAAGATTCTCTTGATCGAAAATTTTTGAAGTTCTAACAGTTCAATTCATCTCCGTGGTCGGTCATCGATAAAATATTGGCACTGGTATGACCGAGAATAGCAAGAGAAGTCCTACTCACTGCCTTCTTGAGTCACCGGTGTTGTTTACGAAATTCAGAGGACGAAAATTGAATGTCAGGCACTTTAACCGGATTGGTGGATATGGAGAATCCACCTAGGGTAGTTGGAAAACCCTGATTCCCAACCAATGGTGTACATGGGCTCCAGAATCCTGAGGACACAAGTGATGTATGAATTTATTGTTGGTCACCGGCTACCATGGGACAGTATCTCCTAACGTTGCTCCACTGCCTTGTAGATCATACATTTAGGTCGAAGGCTCCGGATATGGTCCCCTTAGAAACCACCTGCCTTGGTTTGGCCACCCAGGCAGTATCACAGCCCTAACACAAATCAAATGAGATTTGTGCGGCGCATATGTACTCAGTGCCTTCTTATACCAATATGTATGTGTTCAAAAAAATAAATGAATACAAATAAAATACCAGGACTTTTAAATCGTCGTTTTTACTCTTATGTACGTAAGCGAATGAGGTTTCTACTTTGTTCACTTTAGTATTTCTCTAGACTTGTTCAGTCTTATTTGTAGTTGAGATTGCATTTGTATTCTTTCACTATGATGTCTTTCAGTTTGTATAAAATGGAATTGAGTAATTATGGTAGTTTGTGAAACATTACTCGGCTTATTGATCCGTAAAAAGGTTTTGAAATCTTTGTGATGATTTCTGAGATGATTTCCACATATGATAGAGTAATGTTTTCCCTTAGATATGAGTTTGATTCTATGTCACAATTAGACCATTGAAATCAGAGAATTGAACTGCATTCAAATGTGTTTAGTTTTTCGTTTAAAGTTCCTCATCACATTTAAACTATTCAATATCTAGGAACATTAAAATGGATGCCTAATTTAAATGATTATAATAACTGACTATATTTATCAAATGTAAATCAATAGTTTTGTTGAAAATTTGTTTAATATCGTTCAGCACCTTTTTATAATTTCATTGTGAATTGAATCTTGGTAAGTCATTATATCTGATGATGAGGTATTTCTAACTGAGTGATAAATGTTTCTTACTTATGCTGCCTGTTACTCCTCGTGAAGGAGCGTTTACCGCCCACCAACACTCTCTATCTAACTTTGTCATGGGCAATCCTTTCCACTTTTTATTCATCCTTTTCATATCTGATTCTATTTGCAGACATAATGAGTTTTTCGCCTTTCCACTTTTCCACTTCCTTTCAGGATTCCAAGTTAGTGTTTTTCCAGTGGTGGTGTTCGCTGATTTCTTTATTGTATATCCCATCCATTTCCATCGTCTTTTCTTAATTTTCTCTTCAGTTGGAAGCTGGTTTGTTCTCTCACACATCCGGTCAACGGATATTGAGTATCCTGCGTAGACAAATATTTATAAATACTTGTACCTTCTTGATCATGGCTGTAGTAGTTCTCCATGTTTCAGCTCCTTACGTGAAGGTAACTAATTGACGATATAACTTAAAAACACAATGAAATGCTCATTCGTTTTTCTTTCAATGGGAATATAGCTATACAAGACACTTAGGTTTCTATAGAAAAATAACATTTGTTATTTCATTAACTAAACAACTAGGTCAATGCTTCATTTTATAATGTTAGGGGACAACTGTTTAATGCTTCCTAGTTTGAATGATTGCCCAGTTATTCCATAATGAAAAACTATAAGATGTTTGTTGTTCAAGGTAAAATTTCAGTTGAATTCATTTGAGAATTTTAATATTCAATATAGTTTACAGATAAGTTAGAAACAGTTGAAAACGAATGGCCTGTCATAGATGATATGAATATCGATCAACAACCTGGGATATTATCCTCTAAAGATACGTAAGTTATGTAAACATCTGTTTAATTTGAAAGTTATTTAGTAGATCATATATTCCAATGATGATTTGTTTTATGACGGCCTCTAAGAGGCATTCGGTAGAGTTCTAGTGAGATGTAGTGATGACTAGTGGAGTTCAACCAGGTATGTTGTAAGATAGTAACTCACTGATGACAATGGTGAAAGTGTCGTTCAATTTCATGGATTGGTTGAAGTTAGACATTAACACCGTTAGATGCTTGCCGACTCAGTGATCTAATGGTTAAGCGCACGCGCCCGAGACTGATAGGTGCTGGATTGGAATCTGGCGAGGTGGAATCGTGTATGCGCACTGCTAAGGATTCACACAATAGGATGAAATGGCCATCCAGTGATTTCAGGCTTTTCATAGTGATTTAGCTTCAATTGACTTATGATCACAACTATTAAAATGACTATAATATTCACAAAAACCTCTTTTGAAAATAAGTATGATTGTCTAATATAGTCGAATTGATTTGTTCACTAAGAATTCCAAGAATAACTCAATTTAAAGAAGGCAGAACTCGATCATCGTTTCCGACACTTGAACAGTATACGCTAATGATCCGCTCATATGTTATGCAGATATAAGGTACAGTGTAAATTGATTTGAAATACCCATTGTATAAAGGTATTTATACCGAAAAGATGATAATGTGGTTATTCACAAAGCGAAATGTGACCAGAGATAAAACTTATGATCGATTTGACATTTTATATGTTACATGTTTTGACCTTATGGCCCTATCAATATATATAATGTAATGATATTGTGAATTAGACAATAACGACTTATCGACCGAATCAATGACTCATAAACCTGTACGAGTAGTATAGAGTCTTTATCGGTCTTCCTGTTAGATCCAGAACACCGATCTGAGTCTCCATAACATAAATGATGTATTGCAAACGTACTGGATTGATATACAAACCAAACAGACCACATCGTACCAATAAAGTAGAAAATAACATTGGTAAAACGTTTAGTCAAAAGTGGCTGTGAATATGGTAGACTGTAATAAATAGACTGGGCATAACTCAGGAACAGTAAATCGTATCATATTAGTCGATGGATTAAAATATAGCTTATAATAAGAGGAACATGAATATGCAGATAGTTTAGTAACTTTATCATTATACAATAAAAATATGTTGGTAGTATTAGTCAGTAAATAGATTCCAATAGTCACCATGCCTAATTCTCATCAGGATATATAACATTATGTAGCCAGATTTTTCGCAAAATACCTTGGATCTGTTGATCGAACACTATTAGCAACAATCTATTGCGGGAGAGAACAAATCAGATCCCAGTGGAAAAATAAATCAGGAAGAAGCGTTGGCAGTGGATAGGACACACATTGAAGAAAGCACCAAACTGTATCACGAGACAAGCCTTCACATAGAATCCTCAAGGTCGAAGGAGGAGAGGAAGACCAAAGAACACATTACGCCGGGAAATGGAGATAGACGTGAGAAGAATGAACAAGAAATGGATGGAACTAGAAAACAAGGCCCAGAACAGAGTGGGTTGAAGAATGCTGGTCAACGGCCTATGCTCCATTAGAAGTAACAGGCGTAAGTAAGTAAGTAAGTAAGTAAGCTAGATTTTTGTTATATACTTATAGTTCATAATCATTTATGCCGTAATGTTGATCGTTTCATGTTTATTTTGTTTGTTTATTTTTTTTTTTTTTAGAGAAGAACATTTTAATCAAGAAGGAATCAATGTAATTCGTAAATTACATATTTATTTAACAGATAAAAATTTTATTGGATTTGATATTTTACAAAAATCAATAAATGATTGGTATTCTACAAATAAACAATTTAAATCTATGATTACAAATTTAATTGATTTAACAAATAATCAATTATTAGAAAAATCAATAAAACAATCCATCACCAGTTCATCAGTAGATGATATTGAAACATTAATTACTAAAGCAACTAGAAAAAATACAATGATCTATTCCATAACAGCTGAAAATGATGATATACAACAATTAATGAATATGTTTAAACCATATTGTAAAAATGTTACCATGGCAACAAATGATACTCCATTCAATAATACTATTCATAATATATTAACTCTATATATAAATAAATTAAATAATTGGATTAATAAAACTAAATTAATTAATGAATTTCTATATAAAAAACCGATTAAATTTAATGTATATAATTTAATAGATAAACAATTAAAACAATTAGATAATGATTATTTCATCATTGTATTTAATCAAAATTCATTGAATGTTTCTATAGAATATTCTGAACAATTCATTACAATTATAGAATTGCTTGTTACTCAGGTAAGATTATTTAAGAAAGAAAAGAATAGAAAATAAAAAAATAAAAAAATAAAAAAACATCTTTCGTTTCTTGAATAAAGTTTATCAAGTATATTCGTTTATTTTTCATAACGGTAAAATATCATCCAGTTGAAAGAAGTTGATCAGATTTCTCTTTTGTTTTTTTGGTTTTAGTTTATCCATGTTAAGATTTATCATTATTTCATTAGAATTCAATATTATTTATAATAAGAATGTGATAGTAGATGTAACTTCAATAGGTTATCATTGATTCAATATAGATCATCTATCCTGATGATCTACGCTGATGAGGTCACTTGTTGATTAATTTCAATGAGCTTATATCAAATAATGTGTATAAGGATATTGAATCATATAGATCAATGATCATATTACAACTTGATTCATTGAATTTTATTAATACAAATAAATCATTTTTTATGAAATGACTTTCTATTCAATAATGAATTTGTGAAGGTAACAAGATATATTTTTTGAAGTATTGACTATTTTATTTTATATACGCCAGGATAAAGACAATCTAAGTATCAATGAATTTCATCTATAAGTTCATATTTATTTACTTACGTATTTACACCTGTTACTCCTCGTGAAAGAGTATACGCCACTCATCAACATTCTTCATCAAACCCTGTCCTGGACAGTCGTTTCCAGCTCATTCCAATTGTTATTCATCTTTTTCATATCTGCTTCTATTTCCCGACGTAATGTGTTCTTTGGCTTTCCTCTTTTCCTCATCCCTTCAAGATTCCAAGTTAGCACTTGTCTCGTAATGCAGTTTGATGATTTCCTCAATGTATGTCCTATGCATTTTCAGTGTCTTTTCCTAATTTCCTCATTAGCTAGAAGCTGGTTGGTTCTCTCCCACAAAAGGCTGTTACTGATGGTATCCAACCAATAAATGTTGAGTATGTTGAGTACACAGCTATTTACAAATACTTGTACCTTCTTGATGATGATTGCAGTAGTTCTCCAAGCTTCATCTCCGTACATTAGAACTAACTGCCTTGACGTTGATATTGAAGATTCTGAATTTGACATTGGTTGACAGATAGATGTTTGAGTTCCATGTGTTCTTTAATTGAAAGAATGTGGGCCTTGTTTTACCAACACTTGCCTTTACGTCTGCATCAAATTCTCCTTCTTCATCGATGATGCTTCGCAAGTATGTGAATGATTCTACATCTTCCACAGTTTCACCATCAAGTGGGATCGGATTACTGTTCTCCGTATTGCATTTGAGGACTTTGGTTTTCCCTTTGTGTATGTTGAGGCCTACTGATAGATCTGTAAGTTAACAGAACAATATTTGGAGAGAAAAACTCAAGAACATTATTCATTCAGTAAAATATTTTCTAATTTGTATCACGTTTATTTTACGAAGAATGCTTATTCATGAACAAATAACCATCCTGGTATAGTATGCACTACTGATGTCGATAGATATATAAGTAGTATGTATCAACAATAGAAAGTGAAATACCTAAAGGTAGAACATTAAGAAGATCTGATAAGTCTTGAGATTTTGAACGCTATACTCGATTCCTAAGCTATTCTTGAAGACCCCCAAGCTAGAACTATACAGCGACCTGAACACGAGTGAAAACGCGCAAAGTATGCGAAAAGTACTTTACTTCAAAGTTCCATTTTTGTACAGAAAAACATGGGTATTTATAGATGTTAACATTTGTTGAATCAACATCATATTTTTGCCAATCCGCTAAAAGACATATTATGCTACTGATCAATAGTAGCACGCCACGTTGGCATTCTAGAAAGCTCCATTGTGCTCTGATTGGCTAAGACTCTTTGGCTCCTACAGGGCCTCCGGAGGCTGTGTTACAGTTCTCAGAAATTCGACTTAACAAGATCATGGGAAAGAGAACAACAACAGAGAAACAAAAAAAAACAATGAAATCTGAGTGAATTGATGGATCATTTACAAATGAATGATTCACTGTATGTAAGTTTATATTCAATTACATTTAATTGTCAGTTCATATATTCTCTTTCACTATATTAATATTATTATGAATCAGTTTATTATAAACTAATACTAAATGAAAATGATTTTTAGAAAAATACTTTCATATTTTAGATCATATTTACATTAACACCGCAATCTATTTCTTTTGGAACCAATGTAACATCAATATGCGTTGATTTAGATGATCATCAGAAATATATTAGAGGAAATCAATCATTAAATCAAATAATAAATTCACGTATGAAATTAATTATTGATTTAATGAAACGAATCAATTTATTATTATCATGTATTTTACCAATATTTACACAATTCAATAAACAATTAAATTTATGGAATAAAGAAACAATGATAATTACTGTAAATGAGAAAGTAATGCGAAACAAACTAAAAACAATTCTATCACATCTTATTGAACATTTAATACAATTACCATGTATTATTGATAATTTCACTTTAGATCTATTCAATAAAAACGGTACTAAACAATCGAATTGTTTTCAAATTGAATTAGAAACATGGATTCAAAGATATGAAATGGAAAGATTAGTGAGTTATTTATAATAATTATGTAAGGGATTTTGTTGAAGATTGTAGTAATTTCAATAAGTTAGTTGAAACTAGACCATGACCATGGAAAACCTGAAATTAGTTGAAGTTACACATGAACACCGTTGGATATTGACTGGCTCAATAGTCTTGTTGGTTAATGTGCTTGCGCGAGAAACCACTAGATCGTGGATTCGAATCTCTCAGGGGATAAGGTTGTGAATGTGCACTGTTGAGGAGTTCCTTAATAGGACAAAACAGCCGTCCAGTGTTTTCAGGTTTTCTATGATGGTCTAGGTTCAATTGACTCATCATCTTAACCATTAAAATATCTTCATTTTGTTTGTCAACATACATAGTTGAACATTCAAAGAGTTTCTGTGGATAAGTTACCTGTTATGACAGATGATTCGTTAGGTTAGGCAATCTTCATGTATTGAAATATTCTCTACAATATAGTAGTGCATTACGGATAACGATGGAATGTTTACAGCTAGTCATCAAATCTGGCAATATATTTTGGCTTTAGATCTAAGTGATGAACATCAAGTGTTGTGTTGGGCAGTGTTCTGTTAGGATACTGATAAACACGTTTTCTGTCCATAAACCCGAATGTTGACCTGAGTGACAGGACAGAGTGAATACAGAATTAAAATGTACACTAACAAATATACGTATGTAGTGAAGAAGAACCCAAGTGGGAACAATCGAATGTATGTGATATGAAATGACAAACTAAATATCAGTCGATTGTGTCAAATTTCATTGTTCATGCATTTCCATATCAAATACGTTCCATTCGCGTTCTTTCCTTGTCGATCTTCCACTCAAATACATTCAATGTCTGACTACCGTTATGTACTACTTATGTGGATATAAGTAACCCACACCAAACTATGTTAATACACTGTCAAAACGTACTATGATGTCATGTTTAAGACATCATTAAAACTTCATATGTTTAATTTACTCTCAATTCCATAGCATTATATAACTCCGACTGTAGCTCTTCTAGAGTTACTGCCGGTCCTAAGCGCGGGTAAAGGAGGAGGGTTGGGCATGGGGTTATCGACCCCATGCCGTAGAAAACCAACTTGCTAAAAAACGCTAACGCTTCAGTCGGGGTTCAATAAGCTTACTGATGCACATGCATAGCATTATAAAGTATTGAAATAATATGAATTACTATTAATCGCAACTGAGGTAAGACTTTAATAAAACACAATCAAGAATTTCAATATGAAGTAGACGGAATGGAATTACATTGTATTATTATAATTAATTACAATATATAGTATAAAACATTTAACTGTATAACAATGGTAAGAATTATTCGCCACACATTACGAGTGTATCCTTATAATAATTGCTTGCTTGTTTACGCATGTTACTCCTAATAGAGCATAGTCCACCGACCAGTATTCTCCAACCCACTCTGTCCTAGGCCTTCCTTTCTAGTTCCATCCAATTTTTCTTCATTCTTGTTATGTCTGTCTCCATTTCTCAGCGTATTGTGTTCTTTAGTCTTTTTCTTCTCCTTTGACATTGAGGATTTCAACTGAGGGCTTGCATTTGACGTAGTTAATTGCTTTCCTCAATTCTCCATACTAACTAGTAATTCACCGAACTGTCCAATTCGTACTCTAGTAGTCACAAACCGAGTAGAAATCAAGTCGAAGAGAAATTCGTAAACACCATGAAAAACATTGTATCTTGTCATTCAAATAACGGGTGAAATAAAACGCAAAGGAATTATCATTTAATAAGAAAACCACAGTTCCTTATAAGGGGGTTTGTTATAATATTCAAAGGTACTAGGATAAACGTAGAAATCGTAGATCCGAGTAATCTCGTTGTATTTTGATAGTTTTGCAACACTCATTCGTTGGCTAAGTTGCCTGGTAGTACGCCCGATATAGTTATCTCCACAGGAGCAGCTGAATTTGTAAATGCACACTGAAGAGGCCATTTCAGGTAACTTATCCTACGTTTGAGTAGATATCGCTGCTCGACTCGAGAAGGTCAACTCAAGATTGGCTACGTAGAATGTCTTGTTAATTACTTTCGTTAATCTATCTTTCAGAGTATCACTATCGACATCCCTGTTAAATTGTATTTTCATGTATAAAGGCTTCTTTGAAACAGTCGAAATGTCCGACGTCTTTTTTATCTTATACATGTACTTCTTAATGAATCCATTGGTGTAGCCGATCTCGGTCAGTGAGTTTTTGATAAATTCCACCTAAAGTAGAAGAGATAAGAACGAAACATTAGTTTTATGGATGAACCAATCAGATTTGAGATAGTAGACCTCAAATTTTGGCACGAAATTTATTCACCCATTTGACTAAATAGAGTTTTGGCATTATAGTTAATGTCAGTTTGGTAATGTAAACTGTAAATCTAATTCTTAATTTTAACTATCAACTATAAATCTTAATTCTAATTCATTAGACTAGTTTATAACCTTCATTTGCCTCTAGTTATTAGATGAACAGTCTCAAGGTCAGTTTAGCCTTATTCAAAGATCCCCTATTAATTTTTAGTCTTACCAAGATAAATAGTTGAGAACTTAGAAAATGTTATCTTTTATCATTTGAATAATCTTAAAACAAAAATAAAAGATTAAATCTTAATTAATATTGATTTGGTCACAATTATAATGAATAGTATGACAATAGATAATATTGTATAATCTAAGACATTAACAATGAATTGTCAGCTGATTGAAACTTATCAGGACAAGGGTAAACTATTTCTGTATTAGTTTATATCCCATTGTAAGTGTAGTTTAGTAAAAGTAAATTCTTATCTTTTAATATAACTTTTATGTTTAGATAATCCCATAGAGATATTATATTATTCGTAAGTATGTACCGTTCCATTAGATATGGGATAAAAAATCACCGATAGAAATAAATGATCATCCCTCAGTATAGGAAGCTGATATAAATGAAAACATGGAACTATTGGATGGTAACTTAATTGTTTACAATATTATATGGTTGTTGTAATCCATAGAGATTTTAAATATTAAACTCTTCTTAGTTTATAAATGTTGAACACGTTACATCACTAGAACTTACTTGAAAAAGTTTTTCATTTTGTTATTTTATGCCAAGAGATGTTTAGTTAATCTACACTTTATATTTCTCACTGGAAAATCTTTGTCTGTTATTGATTATATTATTTTGTAAATCTTTCAACGGTGTTTCTATCATTATATAAAGAAGGTTGATTTGTGTCCTTAGTAACCTTATCTTTTCTAGAGGCTTATTGAATACATTCTCTATACCTCATCAAGACTTCTTGATTTACTTAGTAGGACCAAGAATAATATATTAGAATAACCTATCGTGTCATTGTATCTTTAATCTTCGTTCCGTTTTACCAAATATGGTAAACTGGTAATAACATTTAAGCAATATTAGTAGATCGATATTTATTGTTGTTCTTATTGCAAACAAATTACTTAATAAAGTAAATGATTTTCACATATGATTTTATCATTCAGTTAAGTTTCCTTCATTGAATTCATCCATAAAATCTATTTTATATAAATCAATTATTTATTTATATAGGATATAATGAGTAAAGAATATATTCATGTGGATCAATGGTTACAAGATTCCTATACAACTACATCATCAACTATTAGAAGTATACTTAATCAACATTATGAAATTGGTATATTCATTCATCAATTCAATAATCAATTGAATTGTTTCTTTACTGAACTTCTATTAAATACATCCTATTTATCAACAATATCGACTAGACTAAATAATCTAAATGAAAATGTTGATCAAGAGGATTGGATTAAACAAATTATTCATAATATTATTATACAATCAAATCAATCAATTAGTTATGTATTAAATTGTCTATTAGCTCATGCTACTACAACATTTAATATAATTCATTCAAAAAAAGTAATTCATACTACTACTACTACTACTACTCATACTACTCATACGACTACTCATACTACTCATACTACTGATACTACTGATACTACTGATACTACTAATGCTACACATACTATTCATGCTAACACTAGTACTCATACTACTAATGCTACTGATACTACTCATGCTAACACTAATACTTATACTACTGCTAATATTACTACTAATAGTAATAGTAGTAGTAGTAGTAATATGGAACACAAAGAAGAATCTATTTGTACAATTATTCGATCATTATTTATTATAGATTGGTTTATTGAACACTATCCATATTTAATGAATACCTTAATGAATATAGAATGTAAAGATTTACTTTACATTTTCAATATCAATAGTATTATATTATTAACAAATAAATTAAATGATCAATCTACAATGAATTTAATACAAATTAAATTGATAAAATGTATTCTCATTGCATTAATAAGTCGATTATATAAGAAATTTAATATAACTAGTGATATATCATAAACGATAATACAAATAACAAGTCATGATAATAACAATAATGGATATCATCATAACTTGTAGAGTAATTGAATTGATTAGGTATATCTATCAGTGATACATACTGTATTGTATTGTAATTGTATTCATATATAGCAAAAATATATATTGATTTATCATTGATACTTTAATCGTGTTCAATTCAGTTTCTACAAATCTGTCTATTAACAATCTCTGTATATGTCATCAGGTGTTTGTTTGTTTGTTTTTTAATCTAAAGGACTCGCACTGCTAACATCCAAAGAAGCATGAATTGCTTTTATAAAATGATGGTTTAATGGATTCAGAACTATCCTATTCAGACTATCCTTCACTAAAAATAATAAAGGGTTTACCATGAGTAACATTCATTGTTAAGCGCCCATCAATGTTGCCAATAGGGATGATAAAGATTAGTTCAATAAGAAGTCTGTAGTTTAGGATAGAGAAATACCCACAAAAGGAAATGGTCACCTTGATCAGTGATAACACCGCTTGTGTTCATGTTATGTGAGGATGTAGAGTAGAAAAGAGGGAAGACAGGACAGTTATAAGCGAAACGATTTTCCTTCACAAACTCATACACGAGCTACACGGATTTCGTCAGATACTTTAGAGAACCAGATGCAACCCATTTACGTCCATAAGACAATTAGAAGGTTCACAGGGAAGGCGATATAAATATGGAGAACAACTGGAAAGAGATCAAAGAAGAAGCAAATTCGGCATATCACGAGGTACTGAACCATGGGGAAGTTTCACAAGCGTAAAGTAAAACTACTTTTACTAACAAGCGGTATAACTGCTCTTTTACAGGTTGATTAACCCCACGAAGAAACCAAGAATAACTCACCTCGCCATAGACCCCTCCAGCCTGCACCATACGTAGATTGGTCTCATCAGGCACACCACCATCAGCACTTAAACAGCCACTCAGTTAAAAAAACTTCTCCACCACTTCTTACTGACCGATGCTAGGAGTGATTGTAGGTACGGGCTTTTGCTAGTCCTGTAAAATTTACTTACACGTGGACCGATGTAGAGAGGTATATGTATGTCTTCATTCTGATAAGGTGTTCGTATATAGAAACATCACAGGAAAACCGCAGCTGGTTAGCAAGTCATTGGAAGAGACGGTATCAGAAACAAGAATTCCACTGAGTGTCAAGACAGATCGCTCTGAGAGGTCAGTCATTTTTCATAAGTTAAGAGAATCTTCTGATAAGGAACCAAAGGCTAGATTTGAACACGACTTCAGTCACATTAAGTCCTTAATAAGCAAACTACTCCCAGATACCGTTTCAGGAGTTAGCATTTATAAGCTATATAGAATAGGACGAAAGGTGGATTCTGAAAGCCCTCAGAAAAACCGCCTCTTGAAGGTAACATTTGCCACGGTTGAAGAAAGGAACCTGATTTTAGGTAACTCACGCAAACTGATTGGATCCGGAATATATGTCCGGGAGGATCTCAGCCTGGCTGATCGTATTAAGAGACGAGCTGCAGAAGTGGAAATAAGTGAGCGCCGCCGAAACGGCGAAAGAAACCTCATTCTTAAGGGTTTTCAAATTGTAAAGGTTCGGAGCAAAACGATCCTCAAACCACTCTGGGTGGTAAGGGAAAGTTCTCCACAGACTTAAAGGTATGCTACACAAATGCTCGCAGCCTACTAAATAAAATGGCGGAGCTTAAGTCAATGGTGGATAAAGAGAAACCGGATGTTATTGCTGTCTCAGAAACTTGGTTAACTCCGGAAATATTAGATAATGAAATTCAATTAGCTAGTTTTTTATCCAGTACGGCTGATAGATTAAATCGTAGGGGAGGCTTGGTTATCCTGTACACGAAAAGTACCCTAACTGGAAGAGTAGCTGAGACAGTCGCACATGTTTCAGGAACATGTGAATTGATGCGATGTAGGCTGAAATGTAGACGGCAAGATATTGAATTAGTTGTAGTATATCGCAGTTCAGAATGCGTGGTAGATGATTTTCTCCTAAGTAAACTTAATTCCTGGTGTACAAGAGTAAAAGCCTTGTAGTAGGCGACTTTAACTCACCGTATATAAACTGGGTTAACTTGGAAGTCGGGTCATCGATAACGTCGTTCGATTGCAAACTGTTAGAAACCTCGATCGCCTTAGCTTTGTTCCAACACATTAGAACTCCCACAAGATATGACTTAAGAAACTACTCTCTTTTAGATTTAATCTTCACACACGGTGATGACGTTGGTCAAATGACTTTCCTCCCACCGCTAGAGAAAAGTGACCACGCAGTCATCTTATTCAAATTAGTGGCTGAGATTGTCCGTCAAACAGTTGCGCCGGCCCGTCCTAACATATGGAAGACAGATATGGAGGCCATCAACTCCGAAGCATCGGCTAAAAACTGGAAAATCGACTCAAGGGCATCAGTACAAGAGGCATGGATGCACTTCAGGCAGTTATACAACCGGGTAACTCAACCATACATAAACTGAACAGTCCCTAAGAAGAAGAAACACGGACATCCATGTATAGACAGGGATATTCAACGTTTACTGAGACAAAAGAAGAAATGTTGGGATGTCGCCATCCGCCTTGGCACAGCAGGTACAATGGAACGCTACAAATCGGTAAGAAACAAGCCCAAAGAAAATATGAAATGCAGTTGGCACAATCAACACTCAAGCAGCCCAAGAGAATATTCTCGTACATAAACTACAGAACAAAGATGCATCATTGAAATCCAAATCTAATTAAAGAACGGAGTGAATCTGAAATGATAGAGGAAGATCATGACAAAGCAGAGGCTATAGCTGACTATTTTGGGGCAGTTTTCACTCAGGAACCTCCTTTGGACAAAAAACCAGACCAAAATAAAGAGTCAATAAACCACCTGCTCACCGAAGACTTCAACCAAGACGATGTGCTTAGGGATCTTAGAAACTTAAACATGGAAAAGTCAACAGGACCAGATAAACTACTCCCTAAAATCTTGAGATATATTGCACAATATATAGCGGCCCCACTGACTGTGATATTCAATATGTCATTTAATCAAGGTGTTTTACCTATGGACTGGAAGGGCCCAATTGTCACGCCCACACATGAAATAGGACCAAGACAAGTTCCATCGAACTACAGACCTGTAAGCCTCACCAGTTTTGTGGTTAAAATGTTGGAAAGAATAGTCAAACGGACAATAATGGAATTTTTTGAAACAAATAACTTGTTAAATACAGAACAACATGGCTTTAGAAAGGGTCTATCCTGTACAACAAACCTCCTTTTAGCAAGGGAATTCTGGATAAAGGCGCTAGACCACGGAAACTCAGTGGATGTTGTCTACATAAATTTTAGTAAGGCTTTTGACAAGGTGCCAACAAATAGACTGCAATTGAAGTTGGAAAACCTTGGTATTGTTGGACCTCACTTAAAATGGATTAAGAATTTCCTAGTAGGTCTTAGACAGAAATTAAGAATAAATTCCAAGTGCTCCATCTGGAGACCAGTACTTAGTGGACTACCTCAAGGTTACGTCCTAGTTCCTTTATTTTTTATAATGTATGTTGATGATCTTCTAAGTATAGTACAGTCACCAAGATTATTATACGCTGACGATGTAAAGATCTGGCGAGTATTAATTGGAGACACAGACTCGCGTGCTCTTCAGGCAGACTTAAGTAATATGATTAACTAGTCTAGAGAATGGCTGATGCCTATCAACACTGCCAAATGTGTCTACATTCAGGAATACAAAGATCAATAGGTACAGCATGGGAGAAGTGCCACTACCCATGGTCTAGTCTCATAAGGATCTAAGAGTGACAGTGAGTCATGATCTTAAAACGACGGCCCATTGCCGGGAGGTCACAGCTAAGGGGTTTCGAACCCTCTGGGCATTAAAGCAGACATTGAATAAGTCAGATACTACCATGTTCATCACACTATACACAACCTCAGTGAGATCTAAGCTTGAGAACTGCGTTCAGGCTGCGAGCCTCTGTTTAAAAGGCTACTAGGATATCATAGATAAAGCACAGAGGGCAGCTACCCATGCAGTTCCAGAACTCCTGGGTTTACCATACAAAGAGAGGCTTGTGTAACGTGCGGTCGAGTCACGATTGACTATGAACACCACTACAAGAAGACTACGTGCCAATTAACCAATAAGATCCTCGTAGGCCAATATCAGAAGGCAGATGATGGCTGTAGTCGAGATGTATTTGTTGGCGATCTCGTGGTATCGAAAGAATACCGAGATCGTGCCAAAGGAGTACAAGCGTGGTTACTAAGCGTAACCGAATTCGTACAAGTTCAAAGTCAACGGGAGAATAATTGTAATGGCTGTCATTAGCATAGTCAAACAAACGAGCACAGTAAAACAGTCACTGATACAATTGGTTATAACAATAATTGTTTTCATTAAACCAATCGCGTTCTTTTGACAGAAGTAGGTCACTACACTTGAAAAGCTAGATCTCTTCACACTGTCCTATCGCAGATTAAGGGGAGATCTAATTTTGATGTACAGAATATCGAGAAATGATTTTGGACCTAACTTACTCTCTCTTTTTGTTCCCACTAAATCGGGACATCTCAGAGGACATAGCAGGCGAGTAGAAAAGCCAAGAACGAACAAAATACCCATGGCATACAGGTTCTTACACCTAGTCATCAATACTTGGAACCCGCTGCCCGAAGCAGTGGTGTCCGCACCTTCAATTGATCCTTTCAAGAGAAGGCTGGACACTCACAGAAGCATACCAGAAAAGCAATAACATAGGCCGTGTGCCTTCTGTCCTTACTATACCATTCTGAATCTGAATCTAAAATTCTTCCCTAGGCACCTTATAGTATGACGCGAAGCATTTGAAAAACTGTGCAAAATTACTCATCCGCTGATAAGAGCCACGGCAAAGCTTTCGATAGATAGGTTTGCATAGATGAACATAAAGATGCTTAAAAATGTGCATGACAATGCACCCAATAATCAGACGTCCGGAGACGCATCATATCACCTACAGGAGTTTTACATTGAGCTGACTACAGGTTTGACTTCAGTCATATGAGAATCGTTAAATCACTACTAGTTTCCAATGCGTATACGCATTTATTAATTCATGTAAACTAATCGACGAAATGGTCCATGACACTTTCACT